AGACAGACAGACAGGCAGGCAGGCAGGCAGGCAGGCAGGCAGGCAGGCAGGCAGAGAGAACAATTCTGAAGAGACTTGCAGTTCTACAAAAATTTCCTAGACTCTTGTCAGATAGATCTGAAAAAGAGAATGGCCCTTCATGTAACAAAGGGTAACCAGGAATATTTCTGCTTTTGCCTGTCAACACCTCAAGCCAGACAGCTTCAAAATGAGCATTAACAATGGAAATGTGGGAAAGTGTAGTTTGGCTAGAAGTTATGACCAACATTTACCTTCCTGCTGCCTGACACCAAAAGGAAATGCTTGTAGCCCAAGTAACACAGATCTTGTGTCTTCTCCCTGAGGGTCTAAAATTATTCTGGGACTCCTTTCTCTGGCCTCCAGGTTAAGAAATGATGGGATCCCCATGGGCATAATAAGATAGGGAAAGGATCCCTTTCTGTTCTGTTGTTTTCCTCTGCCTTGTACTTCATCCCCTTGTGACAATATATGAGGTCCTACATACCCAGAACATCATTTAGAATTCTGGACCACTACATTTCCCCATTTGTGTCCCCTGCCTAAAGAGCACCTTTTATTCATAGTCAAGACTCAACTCTCCTGAGAAGGCTGTCCTACTCATCCCTGTCTACCCCACCATCCCAATCTGACCATGACAGATTCTGCTGACCTCAAACCATATTTGACCATGACCTTACATCTTTGCTCTCTTGTTTATTTCATTTGTTGGTCTCTGGCTTCCTAGGGCAAGAGCATTTTCTTTTCTGCATACCTAACACCAGTCACTGTGCCTGGCAACGCTAGATCAGTGATGGCAAACCTTTTAGGGACAAGTGCCCAAACCACAACCTGCATAGTTATCCCAAAGTGCCAATGCTACAATTAAGCCTGAATACTGAGGCTTTAGCTTAGGAAAAACAAAAACAAAAACAAACAAACAAACAAACAAAAAACAAGTCATACCTTAACATCTTTTGTCTTTAAAAATACAAATAATCGGTGTGCCATAGGTTATCCACCACTGTGTTGGTGCTTAAAAAATGCTTTATGAAATAAACTGTTCTGAGTGCCAGACTTAAGGAGAAGCTGCTGTTTGGAGATGAATGTCAATTAAATCTTGGGCCCAGAGGAAGAGTACAGGGGAGAGTCCCTCTGAGATTTAGTTTGGCTGAGTTCCATCCTTGCTGGGCATAATTCTTTTGAGACAAAAGACGATAGCTAACCTGAAGTGTGGGTGTGGCATGGGAAGTGACATCACTGGGTGCTAACGGAAGGAGCAGGAGCAAGCCTGGGAGGACTGGAGGATCTAAAGCAGACTGCACC